GTGCGGTGGCCTAGAGGTGGAGCTCTCACCTCACAATCAGGCAGCTTTGAGTTTGATCCTAGGTAAAGACAGATATTTCTCTCTCTGGGCACACTGAGAATATATCTGCTGAACAAAACTCCACATTGGCGATAGGAAGGGCATCCGGCCATTAAAACACTGCCAGCTCCATTCAGTTGCCCAGACTCTACCCTGCAAGGGATTATGAGGTCGTTAAACGATGATGATACAATACACAGGGCTGAAAGTATATTACAGTAGCAATCCTTGAGGTGCAAAATGGCTCTGCATTTACTTATTTTACTTATTCAGCTCAATGGCTGTTTAAATTCAAATGATGTGAGTGGTTTAGCAATAATTTTAAAAAGGAACACTTCATAAGTGTGCAGAAGACAGACTCTAAATTGCAACATGACAACCTACAAGGGGCAACTTCTACCCTACCTCAAGGCCTGGGAGAACAGCCAAGGATTCATTGATTTTCAGAACGTCCTCAGGTGGGAACCATATACAGTAAATCTCTTGGGGATGCTGTTTCATGGGCAGGAGTTGCATACTAGAGATTTTTTTCCTTCCGTATGGACACCAGTTAGTTTGCGTGCATGCATGTGTGCTTTTCTTCCGCATTTTACGCACAATATGTAGTCTTCAGTTGCCAATGGTCCATGACTACACTAGTACAATGTAAATGCTGAAATCTGGAACAAACATTTAATTAAGAGAGTCAAGATCACCACCCACAGATAATACTACTTATTCAGGCATGATGTACTATTTGGTGATTTCATAGTGACTCACAACTCTCCCTTCAGCTTTCTCCATGCTGTCAGAAGACAAGAAATTTCATTGAATCTTCTGACAAGTACGTAGAAAATAGCTTTTCTGTGTTCAAGAAAGGGAAAAATAATCTGCATTAGGATGCAAATTATAAGAATGATCCCTGACTTGCTTTCATCTGTAAAGTTTTGAAGAAAAAGGCTGGATGATAGAAAAAGAGGGGAGGGAGTCTTAACCTGGATAGACAACGGGCAAAAAATAGAGACTACATTTCCCTTGGACATAGATAGGAAATAACGTACACATCACAATTAATGTTCCAGCGTGACCATATAAAATACTTGTAATATATCTGCCCCCTATGTAAACCTTTGCAGATGTAAGCACTTCATAAATTAAGCAGGAAAAAATGCCATTCTATTTTATAAGCTGGGAAACAGAATTTTAAGTAGCAAACGGCAATTACATATATTAAAGCTTTACTTGAATAGCAAGAATAGGATTAGCTATATACAAAAGCTATATATATGTATTTAATGCAAGTCCCCCCCCCCCTCCCCAAAAGCAGTAAACACAATTCAATTTGTGAATCCATTTTCTGCTCTTTGGGCTGTAAATTGAACTGTCATTGCTTTTCAACAAAATCCTGAGAATATACGGGATTTTCTGGTAGAGATCTTAGCCATTTTTCAGTTGCATTTCTTTTAATGCAATTTATCTGGGCAGAAGCAGCACTGAGATTCTAAGAAGCCAGTTATAAGGGTTCTCTTATAATAAAAAGTCTTCTGTTTTCCTTGGTGGAAAGGAAGATCTCCAAAGGGAATATTTTTGCAGTTGTATTGGTAGAAAAAGAGATAAAGTCAGATCACTTGACATTCTTTCCTGATTCAAGAAAATTAATGTCTTTCTAAAAGGCCATTTCCACTATATTATCATGGGAGCCTTTTTGATACTATTTTCAACATTACTGAAAATACAGCCTATGAATAAATGTTGCTTATTTAACTACTCCTTGAAATCACTGGTATGAATCTACGTGTCTTCCAGGTTTCACTGTTCTTTCTGGCCAACAGATGGCAGGACAATTCCTGCAAATAAGGGGAAAAAGTGGACCTGCCGAACAAATTCTCCCGAAACTAGTGACCGAAGAATCTTGATAACACTGTTCAATTATGGTTGAAGCGATCTAAGGCTTGTGCAAGTAAAAACCATGATTGATAATTATTAAGGTAAAGGTTTGCACCTCACATATATGCTAGTCATTCCCGACTCTAGGGGGCGGTGCTCATCTCTGTTTGAAAGCTGAAGAGCCAGCGTTGTCCGAAGATGTCTCCGTCGTTATGTGGCCGGCATGACTAAACGCCAAAGGCGCACGAAACACTGTTAACTTCCCACCAAAGGTGGTCCCTATTTTTCTACTTGCATTTTTTACGTGCTTTCGAACTGCTAGGTTGGCAGAAGCTGGGACAAGTCATGGGAGCTCACCCCGTTATGCAGCACTAGGGATTCGAGGCGCCGAACTGCCAACCTTTTGATCGACAAGCTCAGAGTCTTAGCCTCTGAGCCACCGAGTCCTCTTTGATTTATTACACATCATCAAATTGGTTTTTTCCCCTCCTCCTAGTGGCCATAACCCTCTCCCCAAAAATTGGGAGAAAATTGGGGAAGAGCAGGGAGGGAGCAAAAAAGGAAAGATGAAGTATTGACTCCAGCCATGGTCTGTTGAGTTACTATATTTATGTTTGTCCACTTAGGTTTTGGTGTGTGTGTGTGTGTGTGTGTGTGTGTGTGTGTGTGTATTTCTGAGTTATGTGTGTTTTGTGTGACTAGTATTTTCAGTGTTAGGTCTATTAGCCTTTTAGATTTTATACATACAATACACTGTTTTCCTGTGACCCTCTTGTGGGTTTTGATAGAACAGAATACTTGTAGGTCAGGAATGGACTGTGGGGTCCTTGATGCTCTCTGAGCTTGGCTGTTTTCTTGCAGATGTTTCATTACCCAACTAGGCAAAATCATCAGTGCTGGATGGGAATGGGGTTTACTCTCATTATTATATACTAATCGCTTGCCCTATCAGTGTTGGTGGGAGAGATCTTGGTGGTTCCTTGATTAGGCTGTTGAGGGTTGAGGATCTTATACAGGTATCTCAATGAAGAATGTGGGAAATCAGATACCAGTCCAATCCAATAAATCTTACTTGATGTTTTCTTCCAGAGTTAGTGACAGGTGAATTGTTTTGAATGCTTGACCACAAGCTGAACATAACTCATTAGTAAGAGACTGGTAGAAGGGCAAATACAATTCTTGGCAGAATTGGAAGAAGCTTTGTATCAAAAATGTGGGACTACTACTCAAATTGTGGAAACCCCAATTGGAATTCTGTGTTGATTCTGAATGCTCCTTTTCCAGAGGGCTATTGACAGGTGGAGAAGGTTCAGAGGACTGCAATGAGACTTAAGAACATGGCCTCTGAGGACAGGCTAAAGCAATGGTTCTTAACCTTGGCAGTTTTAAGAAATGTGAACTTCAATTCCCAGAATTCCTCAGCTAACATGGCTAGTTGGGGAATTCTGGGAATTGAAGTCCTCACACCTTAAGGTTGCCAAGGTTGAAAAATACAGGGCTGAAGGAACCTGGGATGTCCTAGTTTGAAGAAAAAAGTAAGGGGAGGCATGATAGCTGTGTTCAGGTTCAGCTGTAGGGAAGATGATCATAATTTTTTTCCCCTGTGCCCACAGAAACTATGACAAAAAGCCATAAATATGAACCAGTGGCAAAGCATTTTGATCATGCGACTATGGGGGCGCTGAAAAAGTCGTAACTATGAAAAACGGCCCATAAGCCACATTTTTCAATGCTGTTGTAAATTTGAACAGTCACTTGGTACTACAGTGGTTTAAAGCACCCTGTTATTAACACAGCTGCCTGCAATTTACTGCTGGTTCGAATCTCTCCAAGGCTCAAGGTTGACTCAGCCTTCCATCCTTTCTAAGGTAGGTTAAATGAGGACCCAGTTTGTGGGGGCAATAAGCTGACTTTGTATAAATATACAAAAGTATGAAGGCTATTGCTGAATGCACTGTAAGCCGCCCTGAGTCTCCGGAGAAGGGCGGCATATAAATCAAAATTAAAAACAAAAAACAAAAAACTGAACACTGTTGTTAAATCGAGGACTACCTTTATAACAAAAATGTACAGCGGTGGAACAATCTATCTGCCTATTTTAAGAAAAGACTGGACGGTTAGTTTCAATATTGCAGAGCTCTGAATTGGAAGATGATTCCTTCCAACTCTATAATGCCATGAAATTGATTACGACCATTTTCAAGTGCATCTTTAGGCCTCTATGTTGTTGTGGCCCGTACGTGGCCTGTGCAGCTAGTAGCTGATTCAGACAGCGAGGAGGCTGGTGTGGTGCTGCGCCAGCAGCCTGTGCAGCTGGCACTCGAGTTGGACAATGAGGAGGCTGGAGAAGATGTGGTACCAGAGGCGGGGATTCAGCCAGGGCCTTCAGAACCTCCAGAAGCTCCCATAAGTGAAGAGGAAGAAGAGGAGAAGCCTCTTCTTGATGCATGGGCGTGCAGAGCTGCCAAAAGGCAGGAGTGGCTCCTCTGGAGGAGGTCTCCTCAAGAGTAAGGCTTGGGGCTAATTGGCCACTCCCTTAGCCTATTTAAGGAGGAACGCCAACTGAAGCAATTTGCAGGGAACAACTTCGTTCACATACCTTCGTGTCTTGTCTTGCTTATCTTATCAGCTTCCTGCAAATTGCTTCTGGGCATTCTGCCAAACACAGTAAGCTTTCAGTATTATTCTTTGAATTCTTGGCAGCTATTAATGCAGTTAATTAACAGCCATTGTTGTAAAAAACTGGTTTATTTAGTAAACTAAGGTTTGAACAGACTTTGTGTGTGCTGCGTTCTTTGGGGTCCATAGCTGGGGCAGAACAATGTTTGATAGCTTTGGGCAACCAAGAGTGCCTGATGAAGACAAGCCAGTTGCTCTCATCTTTGGCTGGCTAGATGCAGCTCATTATCTGTGAACAGAAAGACTTTACCTGTTGACCTTCAAAGCTCTTGTTCATGTGCATCGAACCAATGCCATTCACCATACAGCCTTTCATGTAGAAATCCAATTAAACCCTTCGCAGCATCAAAGAAGCAGACACACTTGAAGCATGACCAAGGGGCCGTACGGCTTTCCCTAGTTTACAAATTAAAGCCTTTTTAGCAAAATATATCAAGTAATATTTTGAAAAAAGCAATACAGCCAGCATTGCACAGCAACACCCTGATAAAACATAATTTCAAGATTACACCATCCATTCATTTATACAAAAAATGTGTACATATTTGCAACACTGGTTTCATCCACTACCTTAAGCTATGATTTATTTAACTGTTTTTCCCCTCCACTATACCACAATTAGCTAGGTTGACATGCTAAGATCAAAACTCCAGGATTATAAATGGTGATGGTTGAATTCATCCATTGCAATGGATATTATTTACTTGGCGTTTGCTTAGTATCTTCTGTGAACCCAGCCGTAAAAAGAATGTTTTAGATGCCATACAGGTTTTAGCACCATGGTATAATAGCACCATATTGAAGAACAAAATTGATTAATTCAGTTAGTGATATAAATCTGTTATACACAAATATAGCAACTTTTATGATTCTTCACATGTAGAATTTCAGAAGGAGAATCCTAAGAAGGGAAAGTATTGTCTGAAAACCTCCCATCAATTTTTTTTAGTATAAGTCAGGGGTATCAAATTCAAGGCCCGGGGACCGGATCCGGCCTGTGGGGTGCTTAGATCTGGCCCATGGGGCCACCCTGGAAACAGCAAAGGACCGGCCCGCGATGCACCTGTCAGTGAAAGTTCTGTTTCCACTGGCAGAGGGTTGCAGGAGGCCGTTGCACCTGAAAACGGAGGTCAGGAGCCCATTTTCACTGGCAGTGTTAAAAAGCAGTGTCACTCACCCCCAACACAAGTGACGTTGAGTTGGGCATGCCCACCCTGGCCAACCCCCCCCACCCCAGCAGTGAAATTCAGCAGGTTCTGGAGAACCAGTAGCGGAAATTTTGAGTAGTTCGGAGAACCGGCAAATACCACTTCTGGCTGGCCCCAGAGTGGGGAGGAAATGGGGATTTTTCAGTATCCTTCCCCTGGAGTGGGGTGGGAATGGAGATTTTGCAATATTTTTCCCTGGAGTGGGGTGGGAATGGAGATTTTGCAGTATACTTCCCCTACCATGCCCACCAAGCTACGCCCACAGAACCAGTAGTAAAAATTTTGAATTTCACCACTGCCCCACCCTTGAGGTCAAACACAACCCTGATACGGCCCTCAATGAAATCGAGTTTGACACCCCTGATATAAGCCATGCAGGCTGAATTCAAAAAATATCTGGAGAGCCTCAGGTTCTACAACTGTAGCTTCAAAAATGACAATTTTTGAAAAAGGGATGTTTAAGTCAATGGATGACAATGATAACTTATATGTTAATGAACCTCTTTCTTAGATGACTGTTTTAATACAGAATAAGATCCATACTTGGGTATATATATAGATCAAAATCTTTTTTCTATTTCCAGTAGAGCTTTCTTGTCAAATCAGCATAAAAACTGATTCATTAAAGCAAGAAAACCTATTTAAAGTGGGCCAGAAAGTTTGAGCCGGGAGTGATCCAGAGAAGGAAAATGAAATTAAAGGAACTGCCAACAGGTACAGAAAAAAATAAGGATAATATATAGAACACACAAAAATAATGATGTCCAATGTTTGAAGAGGCCGTCTTGCCTCTGGGAAGGTTTAAATTATAGGTCCATAGAGCATGCTGGAAATTGTAGACGAATTTTCTTTATTTCCAAAGTCCATCTTAGCAAGTTCAGTTTTTATTTGGATAATGATTCAGATTTGGTTAATTCTCATTGCGGCCCATTGCGTTGACAGCCAAGGATCTTTTGCACGTTTGACAGCACTGAATCCTCACTGAGGGCGCAGAACATTTGCCAATATCTCGCACCTTCTCGCAGAAGTTCACGGATAGTCTGTCCTTACTGCAGGATGAGCCTGTAAATGTGTATGAATTCAAAAAGAAGTTACTGGGGTTTCATGCAACAGAGTTAAGATAAGACAAAATATCAGAGAGGAAATGAAAGACACCCAGCGATAAACAGAAAGTAAAGATCAAGAGTCAGATAGTTAGAACTTAGAAAAGGTTAGAGGAAGGATAGAAGAATAGAGAGGCATAAGCAAAATAGAAGATTAAGAAAGAAATAGGAGGCATAGGATAAATTAAATGGTTCTAAATAAAAAATGACAGGTAATCTTTCGTGACAAATGTTTGTAATAAAAGACTTTTCTAGCTGGAATTAATGTGTATACAACCACTCTGGAATCTGCACCAATCCGGAATCTGTGACAATAAACAGGTAATCCTCGATTTACAACAGTTTGTTTAGTGAGTTTGAAGTTACAACAGCACTGAAAAAATGGATTTGTGACCATTTTTCACACTTATGACCGTTGCAGCCTCCCCAGGGTCATGTGATCAAGATTTAGATGCTTGGCAGTTGCAGTGTCCCCACTTGTTCCAGGGTCCTGTGATCACCTTTTGCGACCTTCTGATGAGCAAAGTCAATGGGGAACTCAGATTCACTTAACAACCATGTTACCAATTTAATAACTGAAGTGCTTCACTTAACAACTGTGGCAAGAAAGGTCATAATATGGGGCAAAATTCACTGAACTGTCTCGCTTAGCAACATAAATTCTGGGTGTAATTTTGGTTATAAGTCGAGGACTATCTGTAGTTGACAATGCTTAGTGTTGAAAAACAATCATTTGTTGGTCCAAACCAGCTTCTGAAGATGAAATGACAGGATATGTGAGGCAATAAATAAATAAATAAATCTTGTTCAACGCAAGGAACGAAATATCTCAGACCAGCTAGATGTGGGAAAATTGAAAATTCTGATTTGGAGGATGACACGTTGAGAGAGATTGTGAAAAAATGAAAAGTCTATTTATTATTGCAATCTATTGTAATAGCATGTATTTCTTTGGATGTCTTTGCTCTTGATTAGTTTTTGCCATGAACGTATGACCCATTTTATTATAATAATAAACAGCTTCTGTAAGTGCTCTCAGGCTGTTTGGGAAAGATACACACACACACACATACACCCACTTACATGTGTCTAATGAAATTTTTCTTTGTGGAAATCTGATGCTTCCTCCTGGATTAATCAATGTGTACGTTAGAATATCATCCTCCTTCAGTATTTGTAATTCTAGGAAGTTTGTGATATACCAGGGGTGAAATCCAGCAGGTTCTGACAGGTTCTGGAGAACCGGTAGCGGAAATTTTGAGCGGTTCAGAGAACCAGCAAATACCACCTCTGGCTGGCCCCAGGGAGGGGTAGGAATGGAGATTTTGCAGTATCCTTCCCCTTCCACGCCCACCAAGCCACACCACACCACACCACGCCCACCAAGCCAAGCCCACAAAACTGGTAGCAAAAAAATTTGGATTTCACCACTGTGATATACCTTTTCAGCCCAAATGAGTGCAAAATACATTTACAAATGCTCATTTTATGCTAAAGGGCCTTGGTAGTACAGGGGTTTAAGGCACCCTGTTATTAAGCTGGTTATTAAGACCAGCTGCCTGCAATTACTGCAGGGTTCGAATCTCGCCAAGGCTCAAGGTTGACTCAGCCTTCCATCCTTTCTAAGGTAGGTAAATTGAGGACCCAGTTGTGGGGGCAATAAGCTGACTTTGTATAAATATACAAAAGGATGAAGGCTATTGCTGAGCACATTGTAAGCCGCCCTGAGTCTTCGGAGAAGGGCGGCATATAAATCAAATTTAAAAAAAAAATCTGTTGTGAAGCATCTACTTCATGATAACAGGTCTTCTGATATTGTGTCTCAAATAGTTCAGAACTAGTGAATATACCACGATATGTACACTTGGTTAATTTCAATGGGTTAAAATTGAGGGGAGTTATCAGTGTGTTATGAAAACCGATCCCATTTGGCTAATTTATGATCTAATATATAATGTGAACTCAGACATATAATGTGAATGGGTTATTTCTACAGCCTAGATAACCAAGTTCTATGGACACAGCCAGTGTTTAGACATGCAAATACATCCACATATATTAAAAATACATATTCCAATAACCTTTTCTTGAGATTGCTCCCCATCCTAAAAGTCAGAGATTAATCCAAAAATATATCAACAAATGAAACTGTTTGCTCTTTGGAATGAGCAACGCCAGAAACTCTACAATGGACCAGCTTGTAATATAGAACTGCCTGCCATTTTGCACCCGGGATAGTTTCCTTAGAGAGATCTTTGCTGGAATATACTCACCAGTATTTTCCACACATTTTTGTAGGTTGCATTTCTGAGAATCTGGAGGCCTGGTCTCCCGCTCGCACCGGTTCTCCTCCTTGGTCGCAGGGTCGTCCACCCTGATGCACTGCACTGCTCTTTTCTGAGTACCCCCTCCACATGAAGCTGAGCACTGGAAGACATTTTGAATGACCAAGCACACATTCCAAGCACAAAGGTTTCATTGATTGGGAATTAGCACCATGCCCTGTGTCCTCACAATAATTAGCTTGGCAAAGCTTTGCAAGCTAACTATTGACTTAGTAGACATTCCAGAGGAAAACTCTGCAGCTCTGGACCAGGAAGTTATTAACAGGAACTCCTATATCATTCCCGCTCCTGTGACTTCCTTCCTTCCTTCCCTCCCTTCCTAAAACCAAGATGCTCTTGGTCTTGCCACTTATCCCATCAGAGTAGCTGAAAGGAATGGAAAAGAAAGGAATGGAATGGAATGGAATGGAATGGAATAGAATAGAATAGAATAGAATAGAATAGAATAGAATAGAATAGAATAGAATAGAATAGCAGAGTTGGAAGGGACCTTGGAGGTCTTCTAGTCCAACCCCCTGCTTAGGCAGGAAACCCTACACCACTTCAGACAAATGGTTATCCAACATCTTCTTAAAAACTTCCAGTGTTGGAGCATTCGCAACTTCTGGAGGCAAGTTGTTCCACTGATTAATTGTTCTAACTGTCAGGAAATGTCTCCTTAGTTCTAAGTTGCTTCTTGCCACCGCTGCTCCCTGCCACCTGGAACTGGCCAAAAATGCAATGCATGAAGGCCAAAAACTGGGTGTGTGGAGGCCGAAAACATGATACCGAGGCTGAAAACACGACGCATGGAGGCGGCGATTGGCAGGGCCAGATTTAGATGAAAAGAGGCCTAGGCTATTCCACTTATGAGGCCCTTTCACCTATAGTGAAAGTGTAATTTTAATTTTGCTAACAATTTGAATGTAGGCCCCTCTTGATCTTGAGGCTGAAGCCTAGTTAGCCTATAGGAAAATCCGGCCCTGGCGATTGGCGATGATGTGCTGTGGCGATCCCCGCAGCCTGGAATGGGTCTAAAACAGGGTGTGTGGAGGCCAAAAATGTGACGCGCTGAGGCCGAAAATGGCCGAAGGGTGGGGGTCAGCGAGTGGGCAGGGCTTCAGCAACATTTGGTATATAAGACGCACCACAGTTTTCACCCACTTTTGGGGGGGAGGGAAGTGCATCTTATATGCCGAAAAGTACAGTAAATAATCAGAATGATGCAATGTACCTCATTCCAGGACTCTGTGTGCCACATGAAGCATGGATCCATGTTACAGCTCATGTTCAGTACTGGCTGGCTTTGCACGGCCTGGCAGTGGAACGGCCTCAGGATTCTCTTTTCTCGCACATCAATGCAATGCGCATCGCGGGTCTTGAAACCCCCTCCACAGCTGGAGGAGCACTGTGTAGGGAACAAGGGCAAAAAGGTAACCTCTGTGGCTTCAAAGATCCCTGAGAGGCATTTGTTTTCTAAAGCACAGGGAATTGTGTGATGCCATGCAGAAATAGGCGCTCCACAGGACTTCTCTTGCTGTCCAGGTCCAGACAGAGAGGAATCCTTTTTGAACTCCTTTAAAAGGGCTGTTTGAGTAGCTTTAAAGGGAAAGAAATGACTAGAACATCTCAACTCTGTTAATCTGTTAATTTGAAAAGATGTACTTTGAGGCTTTAAAAACAAGCCCAAAAAGATGTTTCTCTATCCAGTGGAGAGTGCTAAAGAACCGGAGCAGCAAATTTTCAACAAAATTGCCGCTTGCGGCAACTGTGGGCAAATCTCCTGAACTGGGCATGGATTTTCATACAGAAAGCAGCGTTCCCTCAAATAGCCTTTAAGTCATGGAGAGCTTTAAAGATAATGATTTCTTTGTATTTTCCAGAGAAATGAATTGGCAGTGCTTTAAGCACAGACAAAATGTGGTCAGCTTATGTTCTTCCCAAGACCATGTTGTCTACCAGCTGACATCTTTTCTCCCAGAAGAGTGTGTGTTACCACAGTTGACCCTGGAGATGATTACAGCAGCATAATTTTAAAATATTTATTTTCCAGAAAGACATACAGTACAGTTGTCATATCAACCAAAGTTGATGAAATGCAGTTCTGGCATTAGCCATAATCTTGGAAGGAGAAAGGAAGACAGAGATTCAGGTCCCAAAGCATGGCCCAAATGGCATATCTGCTCCTTCTGGGAAAATATTATCCCACAATATTCAGAACAGGCAGACATACCTCCTTTATGTTCCTAATAATAAACACCTCTATCTTGTCTATGGGGATGCGGTGGCTCAGTGGCTAAGATGTGGAGCTTGTCGATTGAAAGGTCGGCAGTTCAGCAGTTCAAATCCCTACTGCCGTGTAACAGGGTAAGCTCCCGTTACTTGTCCCAGCTTCTGCCAACCTAGCAGTTCGAAAGCACGTAAAAAATGCAAGTAGAAAAATAGGGACCACCTTTGGTGGGAAGGTAACAGCGTTCTGTGTGCCTTTGGCATTTAGTCATGCCGGCCACATGACCACCGAGACATCTTTGGACAGCGCTGGCTCTTTGGCTTTGAAACAGAGATGAGCACCATCCCCTAGAGTCAGGAACAACTAGCACATATGTGTGAGGGGGAACCTTTACCTTTACCTTTATATCTTGTCTAGATAGTTTCAAGTTGTTATTCTTTATCTAGCCCATTACTGACTGCAGACAGTATTGAGGCACTGCCAAAGACCCAACCTGGCCACCATGTTATCTTACCACAATACCTTGCTCTGAACAAGGACCCTTTAGAGCAGATCTGTCCAACCTTGGCAATTTTTGGTGAACTTCAACCCCCAGAATTCCCCAGCCATCATGGCTGACTGTGGAATTTTGGGAGTTGAAGTCCACAAGTCTCAAAATTGCCAAGGTTGGACATATCTGCCTCAAAGCAAAGTATTTGGACTGGCAAGGAGTCTGTTTGGCCTGATACCTCAGAGCCTCAACACCTCAGAACAATCTAGGACTCCTTGGACCAAGGTACCAAAGCAGGTGCTACAACATTGCAATAACAACCTAGGTAAGAGGGCAAAAATCTTCCAGCTTTCTAAATTTGAAGGAAGGATTTCAGTCTGCCTTACGAAAAGATCCGACTGGCCAAGAGGGCGTGACTGCAGTTAGGGCCACCAAATCTGGGGTTACAAAAATCTAGAACAACCAATTGATGGCAGCAAAAGGAAACAAAACATTAGCTCTTTGGAATCACCTCATGATCAACTGGATTTTTTTTTTGCAACTCAGGTCTGAAATAATGGGAAGCAAGGCAGCCGGCTTATGGAGGTTTTCCAAGAAGCTAGATTTCTGAAGGAGAGGCAATTGATGAAAAAACCCTGACAATTTAAAACTTGAGCCGCTCAGCTCTACAGCACCATTCAAGACTGCACTGCATTCTGTCAGGGAGGAAAAGGTGAGAAGTATGTGTTTGCAGTTGGAGTTGCTTAAAACAAGATACAATAGGAAGTTAGCACCCACCCCTCTCCTAGAAAAATGAAATATTTTAGGAAATATTAAAAGGGCAGAATATTTCTCCTAAAAGGGAGGCACAAACTTAGCCCCCCCTCCACCTTTGTCAATGGGCCATTAAGGCCTGGGCCAGTCTATTCTACATAACAAAGATCTACCTCCTTCAGGCAGAGTCATAGTAGGAATTGGCTAAAGCCCTTTCATTCAGGGGTGAAATCCAGCAGGTTCTGACAAGTTCTGGAGAACCAGTAGCGGGAATTTTGAGTAGTTCAGAGAACCGGCAAATACAACCTCTGGTTGGCCCTAGAGTGGGGTGGGAATGGAGATTTTGCAGTATCCTTCCCCTGCCATGCCCACCAAGCCACGCCCACCAAGCCACACCATGCCCACCAAGCCACGCCCACAGAACCAGTAGTAAAAAAATTTGGATTTCACCACTGCTTTCATTACATCATCACCCAGCAAGAGTCAACCAAGCTTGGGATGCAGGAGTTGCCCCTGCATGGCCCCATGGGAATCTAAGAACCAATCAGACTACAAGCTCAAATTCAAAAGCCCAGAGAGGGCATATAACCCAGACAATCTCACATCTCTTCCCTTTTTTCCCCTAGGACCTCAAACCATATGGTCCTGTCCGCCATTAAAAACCATCTTTCCAAGCAGTCTCCGTGTTTCCAGTGTCTTTCTTTCCCAATTGGAACTGAACCCAGATGGACATTTCTTCCAACAGTACATTGGATTCTTCTGAATGAGAAGCACATAAAGTTCAAGTCTTGAAGAACAGAAACTCCACCCTCCCAAGTCCCGTCTCTAACTTCTTCAAGTTGAACATTGTAACTTCTGTGGAAATTCTAAAAAGAATATGTTCACCAATGTCATTATTTCCCAGATCTACTTTTGATGAGAGCCTGGAATAACAATATGTGGGGAACAGTTGAAATTTAACTAATGAAATGTTTAATTTTGAAGTATCCCAATTGGTAAGAAAAATAATAACAGCCAAGATGAATAGGAAATGCTCTTTGGAAAGAGATCTATCTCACAATTAGCTTTGAAAATGTATAACTATTCTGATTATTTTCATTTTCAATGTTTGGAAATGATCTTTACATTTAAATTTTAAATCTTACCAGTGGCAATTACCTTATTCAGGTATAATAACACTGGGAAACTTGAGGGTAAGAGAAATTATGCATTTCAGGGATATGTTAAAATGTATTATTTCCCTCCATTACTTGCTTACGGAAAAGAGTAAATGCTTTTACTCAGGGTCAGAAAACAAACTCTTTTGGCTTCCAAAAAGCAGAAGTCCACAATAAATAATATGTAAAATCACAGTGGGCCTACCTTGCTCCAATTTCCTATTCTCCACTGAGCACATGGCCGAAAGTGGCATCTTCTGGCTGGATCGGGTTTTTTTATGTGCTGGCAGTCAGACTCATTCTTGGTGTTGCATTCTACGGGTCTCCAAAAGGCCCCAACACCACATGTGGTAGAACACTGGAAAATTGGAGAGAAATAATGCTGCCATTTTTTAAGGGTGCAGGAGAAAGAAATGAGAGATCAGACTTTCTAATTTTTCCTGACAGTAATTTCTTGACATTAAAAATCAATAGAACCGTTTGCCTCCTGGAGTTGTGGGTGCTCCATCATTGGAGGCCTTCAAGAAAAGATCTTCTAGTGTACCCTCCTGCTTAAGCAAGAAGTCCTATCCTATTGCAGACAAATGGCTGTCCAATCTCTTCTTAAAAACTTCCAGTGATGGAGCACCACAACTTCTGGAGGCAAGTTGTTCCACTGATTAATTGTTCTAACTGTGAGGAAATTTCTCCTTGGTTCTAGGTTGCTTCTCTCCTTGATTAGTTTCTATTCATTGTTCTGCCTTCAGATGCTTTGGAGAATAAATTGGACCCCCTCTTCTTAATTAAATAAGTAAGGGATCACTATCCAATCTTAGTCCCAAAGGTGCAACTGGACTTTCTGGTTTTTCTTTGAAGACATTTCGCTTTTCATCCAAGAAGCTACTTCAGCTTTGAAGCTGAAGAAGCTTCTTGGATGAAAAGCGAAATGTCTTCAAAGAAAAACCAGAAAGTCCAGTTGCCTCTTTAAAAATGCACCTTTGGGACAACCATGACTTGGATGACTGAGAATCTCCATACCCAACCTTAGTGTACTCTTTTTCAGTTCTAAAACATTTAATTGCTCCATATTCTATTCAAACTGTTGCTTCCCAATTATCATATATATTCAATAGACAGATGAGACGGGCCCATGATACCTATGATTCTTAAGCACTATCAAATTAAGCACATCCACAAATTGTGGATGTCTACAAATACAAAAGCCTTTGCATAATCAAAAAAGCAAAAATGGACATTTGTTTTCTTTGCTTTTTCCATATTAGCAATGTGATCTCAAGTGTCCTTGCCTCGGAGGAAATCAGTTTCTATGTCTGGCAATTCTCATTCCAAGTACTGTTGAGGTAAATTAAGAAGTAATTATTGAATGACAGGTGTTGCTAAAGGACAATCTTCAGTTGAATTAATAGAAAATGAAAATGTTCATCTTGCCATATGTATTCTGTCTATCCTCCAACTAATTTTCTCAAGGATGCTTTTGCTTCCATTAAAGCTAGGCTAAATATGCTACTCAATGAAAATTCAGCTGAATTTCTTTCTAGCTTGAAGAAAACTTGCAAGGCAATATTCATTTGATTTGAAATTAAGTTGAAACATGCCAGTTGAAATCTAAGTTGAAGTCTACGGCAGTTAGTTTCAAAGAATCAAATGTGGTAGTTTTGGTACCTTGCCTTAATAAATATGGTTGGGAGCTTCTGTTCTGTCAGCATGGTCATACTCCACTCAGTATCAAGGATGCAGCTGTAGAGGTGGTCAACAGTATTAAGTATCTGGGGGTGCAGATAACTAATAATCTGAACTGGTCTCTTCACACGTCATCCTTAGTGAAGTATGTAAACCAGTGTCTCCATTTCCTGCGTCGGATGAGGAGAGCACATCTTTCTCCTTCTGTTCTGTCCACTTTTTACAGAGGCTCGATTGGGAGCATTTTAACAAACTGACTCACTTTGGTTTGGTGGTAGCAGTGCCTCAGATAGAAAGCCCATACAAAGAATGATGAGGACAACCGAGAAGATTATAGGAAGCTTGCTTCCCTTTATTCAGGATACTGCTTATAAGCTGTATGTGCTTAGAGCTTCAAGCATTGTTAGAGACCCCACACACCAACTTTAGGGTCTGTTTCTGTTGTTCCCCTCTGGAAGGAGGCTTTGATGTATCTCTAACAGGACTACCAGATTCTGGAACAACTTTGTTCCCTATGTCATCCGTCTGGTAAACTTGCAAAATTCATTTTTCTTGTCATGTACATTTATACATCCAAACTAGACTGCATTGTTTCTCTGTGTCATATAATGTATGTGGATATATACATATTTCTTTCTTTTTTATTTGTTTGTTTGTTTGTTTAATTATTTATTTATACTTTTATCATGTTCATGTAGTGTATATTGGAGGTGGTGACGGTTTGAGAGCTGTATGCAACGGAATTTCATTTTAATGTATGCCAATTAGTGTACATTTAAAGTGACAATAAAGTTATTCTAAATCTAAGTTTCTCTAAAGCCTCAAAGAGATAAGCAACAGCTGTGCACCACTATTCAATTGCCTTGAAATTCTCCATGCTACTTTATTAATTAATTTGACACATTTGCAGTGAAATGCAACATAGGAAATAATCAATTTCACTTTGCTCTGTAGCATTCTCAAGTATTATGAATTTCTTTGTGACAGCAGCATCCCGGATTTTCCCAGAGTTATAATTTGTTACCTAATATGTAGTTTCCAGCATTTAAATGCAAAACATTGCACACAGACTTGCTCTGTAAGCAAGATGGGTGGTTTCTAAACTTGATAAATAAATAAACCTTTGCATAATAAAAAAAAGCAAAAATGGACATTTGTTTTCTTTGCTTTTTCCATATTGCATTGATAGTTGTAAACAACATAAGACAATACTTACCTCAGTCCAGTTTCCCACCAACCAATAAGCATTGATATGCACGTTTCTGGATTTTGAATATGAATCAGAGTCATTTAGTAACCTCGTTTTGAAAACATTCTCACTGTTCTTTGGCATTGTGGTGTCTCGCACAAATGGACTTTCCGTGGCCCAAGGGATCGTTTCACTGAAAGAGGGCTTTGATGGGGTTGTATCCGCAGATTTTTCTTCTAATTTATTCTCTATTGTTGGTTGTTCTGTAATGGGATCTGATGTCACAGGCGAATTTATTTGTACACGAAGGCCTTTGAGATCTGTCGTTGTCAATGAAACCTCAGTTCCTCTTGTGGGGGTAACAGAAAATGGGTTGAGGTTATTAGACTGATCATCTGTAGATGAGGTTCGTGAGACTTTGCTTGTAGTGAATGTAAGGAACCTCTCTGTTGGTCTTTCAGTCTGAATGTAGTCTTTTATTTCTCCCTCAGTACTGTTGGGTGTTGTGTCATTTGCTTCCATTAAATAATTAGTCTTTGGATTATACATGGGGTCAATGGTAAAGGAATCCTTGTTTATGGAGCTATCTTCTGAAGATATGTTCCAAGCGGTTAGGAGAACTCCGTGAGTGATGTTTTGCAATGCCCTGTTGGCACTAGTTACACCGGAGTAGTTGCTGGGCATGCTTGAGTGAATGGAATTATTTTGCAACTTTTTTACTTCCAAGTCTTCATTTGGAGAAGAATTTACAAGACTTATGGAAGTGGGTATCAAAGTGATGTTTCTGAGCCTGGGTATTATTGTTGAAGGGATCCTTGGTAATGGTTCTGGCGTGGCCAATTTTTTTGAAGGGCCTCTTCTGGGAATAGCCCCTATTCGTCTAATAATCTTTCCATTATGGAACTTGAAACGAGTCATCAGCAATCTTTGAGTGGATAGGCATTGCTGTAAACCACACAGAGCTTTAGAATGGGGTTTCTTCGAAACGTCACATGGTTCCCCATTGTTTTTGGTACAAGTGACATAACGAGTACGTACTCCTCCACCGCAGGTAACTGTACACTGAAAAATAAACCACATTTACATATCTCATCCCCTCCCACTCCAGTGAGCCAAATAAAATACCTAACTTGCTTTTTAAATGCAATGTGTGAACCTAGCTAAGGAAGCCATTTGAACCTTGAACATGAAATCCATAATTTAATTTACACCTGGCTTTGCCCAGGATATTTTGAAATAACGCTTAACTACTGCATGCTGAGAAGAAAATACATATACCGTAGTAATATCCTTCTGATATGTCAGCATCTATTATGAATTTGGAAGTCTATTAGGCATTGCTGAACATGGTACTCAGATCATCAGCCTAGTTACAATCCATTTTAAGCGGGCATTAAACAATGGAGCCACATCTGGAGGTGCTTCCCAAGGTATGTGCTCTACTGATGCACAAGATCCTTAATTTAGATGTTATGTTTCATCAATGCTATTAGCTGAAAATAACATTTAATTAACTTGTTCCAGATCTCAAGTTTTCATTTGCCTAGAAATTAGAAGAGACTTGATGGGTTGTATAAAATCAATCAGCGGAAGAATATTGATGAAATCATATTCAATGTTATGCTTCATTTAATTTATTATACAAAGGAAGAAAAAGCAGCTTGAAGCTGTATGGGTTAAAAGGTATTCTTGTGTCCCCTACTAATAACAGCTAAAGTATAAGAGGGTTTCTTAATAACAGGAGGCAGCAAACCTTTAAGCATTTTTTAATTAAAGAACTGCATAGAAATTAATTTTTAAAGCAGGAGGCATATTTGGTTTTATTGGAAAGAGACAGGCCAATTCAATGCATAGTCATTGCTAAGTCTGCTTTACTCTTATACTCTAGGTCAGGGGTGTCAAACTCATGTCGTCACGGCAGCGTCACATGACGTATCGGGACTTTTTTCTCTTCGCTAAACTGGGCGTGGGCGTGGCCAACATGTGATGCATCCAGTCCCGCGGGCCGGGAGTTTGACAGCCTTGCTTTAGGTCAGTGATGACTAACCTTTTTGCCGTCACGAGCCAAAAGCGGGAGGAATGTGGGGGGGCCCGCGCACGTGTGTGCCCACACCCATAATTCAATGTGCCTCAACCCCCATGCATGCATGCGCGACACACACACACACCCCACGGTCCCCTCACTTTTGGCACGTGATGGCATGGTAGGCAAGGTAGGCCCATTTTTCGCTCTCCCCAGAGGCTTTCTAGGAGCCTGAGGGAGGGCAAAAACAGCCTTCCCCACCCCCCAGAGGCCCTCCGGAGGCCGGAAACAGCCTGTGTCCCGACTTCCAGTGGGCCCGGAAGGCTCAAAAATCAGCTGGCCAGTGCGCATATGCGCGCTGGAGCTTAGCTAGAGCAATACTCATGTGCCCACCGATATGGTTCCGCGTGCCACCTGTGGCACGCATGCCATAGATTTGCCATCACGGCTCTAGATTGAAGTTTTTTGGCTTTTTAAATCTGCATGAAAGCCTAAATTTAAATACTAATTATTCATCCCCTAATAAAATGAGCATTTTTAAATATACTTTTCTCATATTTGGCTATAAATATATTTGATTATGTCTTTATGCAAAAGACATCAGAAACAAACATACCGAAGACACAAACTGCCAATCTTCATTCTTTTTCTGCCTTCTTCCTTAATTAATGGGTTTTCCAATTCTTAGGGGTTTTTTATTAGCATAGGCAATCCCCAGCTTAAGAACATTCAATTTACAGATAATTCATACATACAAATGAGCTGCCTATTACTAAAAATGATAACATTGTCCTTCCTTGAGTTGATGAATCACTGAAGCTCTACAATATTTGTCAGCACTTCAACCTGCATTTACTCTAGTGCTGACATAAGGAGAAGAGGGGGCAGCTGGCAAGAGGACGCTTGACTTCTCACCTACTTATTTTCCCTGAAGATATTATCCCCTAGGAGATGAGATGAGAGGGGGGACATTCCTGGGAGCTGAAGTAGTAGATATGGGGAGAGTGATTTGGAAGATGGCCAATGAGACGCAGAGAATTGGGGAACGGAAAGGGAAGGTTTGGGGTCAGGAAGTCAGTGTTGGCTACGCCACAATCGGGGACAGATTGTCTTGCTTAATAAATGAAAGATTTCATCAAAGACTATTTGTTTGGAAATGCAATTTATTTTATTTGAGACGACACCGAAACCTGACAATATTTTTATAAACCACTGAAGTCAAGAATTCTTAATAACCTGTTCTTAATTCTTAACCTGTTTTCAGTGGTTTATGAAAACATTGTACAGCTTCAATGGTTCAGGGGTTTGAGGAAGAGAAAACACTACACACCATTTTTAACAATAGGCAGTCCGTTAATATGCACTGTATGAGTTTCAACTTTCATACAAGGTTAAGTTAGAGTTAGGGAACTGAATTTGTTCTTAACCCAGGGACTGCCTGCCATTTTTTTTAACAACTGCCCTACTCCAGTGGTGAAATCTGAACTGGTTTACTACTGGTTTGCTGGCTGCGCATGCGCAGTGGACACCACACACCAAATGTGAGGTACTCATGGGCAGTGCACGCCAAGCGGTAAGTAGAAGAGCATGTGACGGGAGGGTTATCAGCTGTGGTGCACAATTTTTTTTTACTTTTAAAAGCATTTTTTCTACAACCTCGTGCAGCTCAGCTGGGCACGAGGGGATGGGGCAGGGATTTTTGCTACCGGTTCTCCGAACCACCCGCCGCCATCTCTACCGGATCGGGCAATCCGGTCCGAACCGTGAGCATTTCACCCCTGCCCTACTCTCATTCCAGATGAAAATTTTAGGAAGAAATCATGAGTTAATTTTGGTGTGAAATGAGTGTGCTTTCAATTCTGGAACTTAAAAGAAATTCTTGGACTAAGTATGTGGTTGAAGATTACATAACTTTTAAGAGAATATATGTAGCTCAGGGTTGCAAAGTGTTCAATGCATCACAGTGCATCAGTGTGCTGATGATGTTACCTAGTTGGGTAATCAAAAGTCTGCAAATAACCCAGCTTGGAGAGCACTAAGAACTCCATAACTTATTAAGTTATAGCCTAGCCTGTGAATCACTACTTTGTGTTTGGCTCTGACAGGAGACTTCTAGAACAAAAAACAGAAGCAAACCTAACACTTTCCAGATGCTGGTTGTTTGCCCACACCTGTTTTAGTGTAGTTTTTTTTTTCAATCTGATATGCTCCATATATTTTGGACAACCAACATTCTAGGAGATGAAATCACAGTATTGCTTGAAACATTCTGGAAACTGAAACCCATCACACGTAGAGAGCAGCACATTGAGGAAAGTTGCTTTACAGCAGGTACATTTTGAAATATATAATTGAATATCTATGACGAAATGGTTCCTTCCTCATACTTTATAAGAAACAGAGGCTGATGACCTCTCAACTTGCCCATGATTTCACTGGACATGGAAATAACAAATACAGCAAGTACCACCAGAAATACATCACAGCTTTTTCTTGGCTTCAGGAGTACTACACTAGAGCCTTGGTGGCGCAGCAGACTAAAGCACTGTTAAGTAACACCAGCTGCCTGCAATTACTGCAAGTTCAAATCTCACCAGGCTCAAGGTTGACTCAGCCTTCCATCTTTTCGAGGTAGGTAAAATGAGGACCCGGATTGTGGGGGCAATAAGCTGACTTTGTATAAAAAAGAACACCGCTTGGGGGGGGCGAAAGCCCTACTAAGCAGGTATATAAAAAAGTATGAAGGCTGTTGCTTAACGCATTGTAAGCCGCCCTGAGTTTCCGGAAAAGAGCGGCATATAAATCGAACCAATAAACAATAAACCAATAATAATAATCAGTCCTTTCTTCTCTGAAATGTTAGCCTAGCCATTCTCAATGTAGATGCTCTTTAGATCAGAGTTCCCCAAATTTTCTGGCTTTGCATACAAGCCGGGGGGGGGGGGAGGAAGGGGAAGGAGATTGTTTCACATGAGAGGAGGGCACATGTACATACCGCTTGTGAAAATGGAACGTGCGCAATGCCCTTGCCCGCTGCTTGCACAAGTGGAGGCGCACACGTGTGCATATTCAGCAGTGGTGGGATTCAACATTTTTTACTACCAGTTCTGTAGGCATGGCTTGGTGGGTGTGGCAGAGCTGTAAAATCTCCATTCCCATCCCACTCCAGGGGAAGGTTACTGCAAAATCCCCATTTCCTCCCGATCAGCTGGGACTTGGGAGGCAGAGAATAAATGGGGGCGGAGCCATTCAGAAGTGGTATTTACCAGTTCTCCAAACTACTCAAAATTTCCGCTACCGGTTCTCCAGAACTGGTCAGAACCTGCTGAAGACCACCTCTGATGCTCACCTAGCACTTCTGTGGCCCGGTCCCAAAAGACTCAAGGCCCAGTAGTGGGCCACAGCCTGGGGGTTGTGGACCCCTGATTTAGATAAGGGTAAAGGTTCCTCTCACACATATGTGCTAGTTGTTCCCGATTCTAGGGGCAGTGCTCATCTCCGTTTCAAAGCTGAAAAGCCAGCGCTGTCCAAAGATGTCTCCGTGGTCATGTGGCCGGCGTGACTAAATGCCAAAGGTGCATGGAACAGTGTTACCTTCCCACCAAAGATGGTCCCTATTTTTCTACTTGCATTTTTTACATGCTTTCAAACTGCTAGGTTGGCAGAAGCTAGGTTGGGACAAGTAACAGGAGCTCACCCCATTATGCGGCACTAGGGATTTGAACCACTGAACTGCTGACCTTTCGATCGACAAGCTCAGCATCTTAGCCACTGAGCCACTGCGTCCCTCTGCTTTAGATACATGACTTCAAATCTTAGAATTCTCACCAGGGTCTATGCTGTGTCCATCCATATTGGGGAAGTCTGGATTAGCACATGACAGATGGAGAAAGGACGATTAAAGGGCTAATTGTTTTATTAGTCCAACCTTTTTAAATCAAGAATGACTAAACTTAAATGCCTGGAGGCACATTTAAGTATTTGTGGGAGGACATCATAGACATGGCTGTATTTTCCTTTTTTGTGTTCTTATTAGAGAGTTGAGATTTAATTCTGTTTTTGCTTAATTGTGCTAAGTATAGGTTTCACATCCTTTATACTTTCAAGATGAGGAAGCAGTTAGGATGATCATCCTGATTGCTAAAATATTATTTATTTCTTGCTTAGTTTATTTTAAAGGCCATGGGAATTCAGATATACTGGTTTTAGAATCGGCAGTTTCAGGTTTTTGTATTTTTGTTTTTTTTTAATTTATATGCCGCCCTTCTCTGGAGACTCAGGGCGGCTTACAGTGCGTTAAGCAATAGCCTTCATACTTTTGTATATTTATACAAAGTCAGTTTATTGCCCCCACAAACTGGATCCTCAATTTATCTACCTTAGAAAGGATGGAAGGCTGAGTCAACCTTGAGCCTGGCGAGATTCGATCTTACTTTTTAATTGCAGACAGCTGGTGTTAAATTACAGTGCTTCTGTCTGTTGAGCTAAACCAGGCTCCAGTTTTTCAAGTAGCTGGCAGGATTCAAAGCCCAATTTTTTCCTGAATGCAAAATAAACATATACACCAAAGGTACAATAGGAAAATAGCTCTTTTCACAGACCTAGAGAAAAAAATGGTCTAAATACACATCTCTTGCTTAATCTAAACTAAGGGTCTCCAACCTTGGCAACTTTAAGACGTGTGGTCTTCAGTTCCCAGAGTTCCTCAGCCAGCTTTGAGTTGAAGTCCACACGTCTTAAAGTTGCCAAGGTTGGAGACCCCTGATCTAAACCAAAGATGAATGCTAACACCAATTCTAAGCTGCCCCGAATTCTTATGAGCCAAGCTGATTTACAAATTTACCTCAGTCCAGTTGCTTACAGTCCAGTCGGATGGGCACAAGACATCCCTATTACACGAAAGGCGAGTTTTTGGTTTTAGCAGATGTTGGCATTCCTCCGCTGGCAGAGCCTGCTCATCAAATCCCAGTTTCTGGATACAAAGAACAGTGCGCTTCTTTTCCCCTGTGGGGCCACAGGTGCTGGAACATTTCTGCCATTCCCCTGCCCACCATCTGAAGAGAAAAAAGCCAAAAGCGAACAAAGAACGTGAAGTGAAATTTGAAAGTCAAAATCTGAGCATTATGATGGAAGCAGAGCAAAGGGATGGCTGAAATACTTATATTCTGAGCCCAGATTTTTTTTTTCCATTTTAAGTAGCTGGCTTTCAACACATTTTATTCCCTTAAATTGGGCTATGGGATAAAAGTAAACTCATGCTAGTTTAGAATAGAATAACAGAGTTGGAAGGGACCTTGGAGGTCTTCTAGTCCAACCCCCTGCTTAGGCAGGAAACCCTAAACCACTTAAGACAAGTGGTTATCCAACTGCTTCTTAAAAACTTCCGGTGTTGGAGCATTCATAACTTCTGGAGGCAAGTTGTTCCACTGATTAATTGTTCTAACTGTCAGGAAATATCTCCTTAGTTCTAAGTTGCTTCTCTCCATGATTAGTTTCCACCCATTGCTTCTTGTTCTGCCCTCAGGTGCTTTGAAGAATGGCTTGACTCCGACTTCTTTGTGGCAGCCCCTAAGAACATGATGGCGAACCTATGGCACGCATGCCATATCGGTGGGCAAGTGAGCATTGCCCTAGCTCAGCTGATTTTTGGGCCCACCAGAAGTCGGGAAACAGGCCATTTCTGGCCTCCAGAGGGCCTCTGGGGGGATGGGGAAGGCTGTTTTTGCCCTCCCCAGGCTCCAAGAAAGCCTCTGGAGCCTGGGGAGGGCGAAAAATGGGCCTACTGGGCCCATTGTGGCATTGCGTGCCAAAAGCGGGGGGAGCGCAGGGCTGTTGCGCATGCATGCGCAGGGATGCGGGCGGGGTGCACTGAATTATGGGTGTGGGCACGTGTGGGCACGACCCCCCTGTGTTCCCCCCACTTTTGGCACACGACGGCAAAAAGGTTAGCCATCACTGCCCTAAGATATTGGAACATTGCTATCATGTCTCCCCTAGTCCTTCTTTTCATTAAACTAGACATACCCAGTTCCTGCAACTGTTCTTCATATGTTTTAGCCTCCAGTCCCCTAATCATCTTGGTTGCTCTTCTCTGCGCTCTTTCTAGAGTCTCCACCTCTTTTTTACATCGTGGCGACCAAAACTTTAGTTCCGCAAGAGCATTTCCTTAATAGCAATCTTTAATTTGCTAGGAGAAATGCTAGCCACTCTCCCAATTATTACCACTGGAAGCAGCTTCCTACTAGAATTATATCTATTATTTTGCATTATTATTTTTTTACCTCAGCCCCGCTAGATAGGTCAGTCCAGAAAATTAGCTCAGCAGGAAGACTAAAACTACACTACAGTAACGGAATCTTTGGAGTCTAATCATGCATCACTTACTTTCCTATTTACAATAACACGAGTTAGGGAGGTTTCTGTCTAAGATCTTTTCTAGCATTTCTTCTTCATTTTTGGGCTTAAGCAGTGGTTCACTCCTGGTTGCTGTGGTAACAGATCTCCCCTCTCTCCATCAATATCCTCCTATTTTACTCTCCACAACATCTGTACAATCCACATTCAAAAGTGCACACACTGTGTGAGAAATAACTCCTCCAAAAGTTGCCACCAAACTGCAATTGTTATTATGGCAGAAGGAAATCATTACATTTGGGGAGATATAGCATATCTAGTGTATTATTATAAGATTGTGTTTTATAAAATGAGGAACCCTGGGTATATGATAGTATGTTGTATATAATTTCTAGTTAGCAGGATGTGGGGAATAGTATTTTTAAGGTATCTCAACGGTGCTTTTTCAAGAGGCTGTTGTTTTTTCTTTTGAAGACATTTTGCTTCTCATCCAAGCTTCTTCAGCTCTATCAGCATCGTGGGGAATGGAAGGATTCCATTGGTATTCCTATTCCAGCTGTCTACAAGGAATATAAATCCTTCCATTCCCCACCATCCTGCCAGAGCTGAAGAAGCTTCTTGGATGAGAAGCGAAACGTCTTCAAAGAAAAAACAAGAAAGTCTAGTTGCCTCCTGAAAAAACACCTTTGGGACAACCATAACCTGGATGACTGAGAATCTCTACAGACTATTTTTAAGGTAGTCTATAGATTAGAGATCTGAGCTTGCATAGAATAATATGAGCATGCTTGGGTTCAAATTGGACTTTGGTTAAGCTTGTGCTATACTGGCCAAAGTATGGCTTATCCCAGGGGTGAAATCCAGCAGGTTCTGACAGGTTCGGTAGCAGAAATTTTAAGCAGTTCGGAGAACCGGTAGCAGAAATTTTGAGCAGTTCGGAGAACTAGTAGTAGAAATTTTGAGCAGTTCGGAGAACCGGTAGCAGAAATTTTGAGTAGTTCAGAGAACTGGCAAATACCACCTCTAGCTGGCCCCAGAGTGGGGTGGGAATGGAGATTTTGCAATATCCTTCTCCCAGGAGTGGGGAGGGAATTGAGATTTTGCAGTATCCTTCCCCTACCATGCCCACCAAGCCACGCCCACCAAGCCATGCCACACCCACCAAGCCACACCCACAGAACCGATAGTAAAAAAAATTGGATTTCACCACTGGCGTATCCCCAAACACACACACACACATATACAGTTTAGTCTGCCCTATTCTAGCATGTATTTTGTCTGTCCTATGCCCAACAATGACTTTGTTTTGATGCTGCTTAATTTTTCTGTGGTACAGTCAATAAAGGCAAAATGTGGCCCTAGATCCTAAAATAGTTCTATATTCTCCTTCCTAAGGAACAGCAATAATCAGTCAATTTTACTTAGAATCCAAGATAAGGGGAAACAATGTGGTAAGCAAATTCATAAATTATGATTTTGTTCAATGCCTCAAGATGAAAAGTCCACCCAATTTTTGACATCATTTAATTGGAGCTAATACTCTATTATGGTATACTTTGTAAATTTTCCCAGTGATTCTATATATTCTTGCAATTTGCACTGAGAAAGCAAGACTTAGAAACAATGAGATTTAGAAATGCAGACTGAAAATAATTTAGCCTTCATTTTCACAGGCAGATGGCTTGCAATGGGACATTGAAAGTGCTTCGGCATAGATGATTAATTATAATACGCTATACCTTTGACATTTTCTAAGAAGTTTGCTTAATCCACCTCCATATATTAATGCTAAGCTTTAAACCTTAAACCTGTACATGTTCGGAAGCCAATCTTTTACCAACGATTTGCCTCTTGTATATTAGCTTCTGTGTGGGAAAACAGAGCTGCTCTAGCCTCGCTTTCAAAACTTTAAAATTTGGCTAATTCACCCAAAGCCAAAATGCTCACACTGTGCAATTTACTGCTCCCAACTGCATAGCCCAGATCTGCTCTCACAGGGAGAGCAGATCTGGGCTATAAAAATCAGGACAATTATTAGTTGGCAGCAATGATTTTGGGTTTTAAAATCTCTTTATGATCATATACTGGTTACCAGGATGCTTGTGCCAGATCTAGATAAACCTAATTTAAAATATATCTCGGGGACGCGGTGGCTCAGTGGCTAAGACGCTGAGCTTGTTGATCGAAAGGTCGGCATTCAGTGGTTCGAATCCCTAATGCCGCGTAATGGGGTGAGCTTCTGTTACTTGTCCCAGCTTCTGTCAACCTAGCAGTTCAAAAGCACGTAAAAAATGCAAGTAGAAAAATAGGGACCACCTTTGGTGGGAAGGTAACAGCGTTCCCTGCGCCTTTGGCGTTTAGTCAAAGCTCTTCTGCTTTGAAATGGAGACGAGCACCGCCCCCTAGAGTCTGGAACGACTATCACGTATGTGCGAGGGGAACCTTTACCTTTAAAATATATCTCATAGGAGAAAGTTGCATTTCAAAAAACCTACAAACAAACATGTCATATTTGATTCTACTTCTGCTGACAATGTTCTTCAGTGAACTTAGACACGTGTCATATTGCATGGAACACAGCCCTGTTTTTAAAATGTCCCTATTCTTAAAGGTTATGCAATTCAAATCAAGTTAAGAATAAAAAAACACCAAAAATGTGAGCAACTGTCAAACTGCAAGAAAGCAACCAGAGATATTCATAAATAGCTAAAGTAAACAGTTTTTTTGTATCCTGCTTAAGTTATAAGAAACTCGCCAGTCTGTTTGCTTTCCCCTGGGAACAACCAGATCAGGCTTCATGGATCTTGGTGTATGGGGGGTGGGCGAGAGATTAGGATGCCAAGGACTCTAAGCAAAGCCCATGCATGACTACCCTCTTTCCAGCCTAGCTGGCAGTTTCCCAACAGCAAAGTTTCCCAAAAAGCAAAGGTGCTTTTTCTAGAGGCAACTGGGCTTTCTTGTTTTCCTTTGAAGATGTTTTGCTTCTCATCCAAGAAGCTTCTTCAGCTCTGACTGGATGGTGAGGAATGGGAAGGACAACCATAATCTGTATGACTGAGAATCTCCGTAGACATTTTTCCGACGGCAACAGAATTGGTCCATTACTTGGGGGTTTAGTTGCTTGGGTTTCTGACACATTTCAATATTGGCGTATTTGTGGCAAAGACTGTATGAGATGCTTTGGCACCGGTATTTTTATTTGGGATTTATTGTATTTGTATTCATGTGGTTTAATTGTTTGTGTACTGTGCATCACCCAGAATTTTTGCATAATAACAGAATTGGGACAGGGACAAAACAAAATGCCTTAAACCATTAAAACTGCTATTTTAACTGTACTGTACTTGAGAACAAATTGTACTGAATTCCTGTGTAAACATCTACAGTACATTGCATTAAAGTATAACTTGATGTACTAGTGATATTCCACTGTACCTCTCTGCCCCAGGCAATTTAAGTAATGCTGTTGATGTCCTGTCCTGGTGCCTGGAGGTTGTGAGTATTTGGATGGGGAACAACAGGCTTCTAGTGAACCCTGGCACCACCGAGTGTCGTTAGGATTTAGAGCCTCCTTAATCTGGGACTTTACCATCTTTGGTTCTGGATGGGGTGGCACAATCCCAAATAGACCCAGTGCCCAACCTGGATATTCTCCTGGATTTACAACTTTTGCTTGAGGAGCAGGTGACAATTGTGGTTG